GGGAGCTGCAGGCGATAGCAAAAGCAAAGCCGTACATGTACTCAGCAGAATGCCTGTTTGCTCCGTCGCCTGCCTGATTTCGCTTCTGTGAACCGTTCCGACGGTTTGGAACGGTTCCTACCTGTTTGGCGGTGTTGCTGACAATGGTTTTCGGAGATTTCGCAAATAGTTCCTGAGAGTTTGAAATGGTTCCACAGCCCCTCATCGCACTCACAGGCAAACAGACCACCAGTAGCTCCAAGCTATTCTTGCTGACCTTGCAAACGTTTTTCGTTAGGGGCGGCTCCTTAGGGGTGGGCTTTGCAGATGTTCGAGCCAGTCAGGCTGTGAACGAGGCCGTAGTAGCTGCATCGCTGTAGCCACAGCTCTAGCCAAGCACAATAGCCATCATTGTTGAACCCCGGTGACTTCGAACTGGATTTGTGGTGCCCTGGTCCATGCAGAGTCCAGCAGAATTCGCACCCGGTTCGTTAGGCGATGTGTGTGCGTGCGCCGAAGATCAGGGAACCTTTGCTGATGTCATCGCTTACCCATGCTTGCGACTCTTGTCCTGCCATTCCCTCAACACCCAGATTGTCGGCTCCCTGCCAAACACAAACCCTAGAAGTCGAGGATCTCTTCTCCGGGATTGACTCGAGTGGTCGTTGCATCATCTCCGCGGAGGTCAGCTTGCATGAGTTTTCCAGATGTCAGACGGAGCACGGCTGGTACCTGTCGAATTCTGTTGATCATAGCCTGGCTTGTCCTGCATCGTAAGCGTGGAGATTGATCCCACAGAATGCCATTTTTGACTGCAGTGGCTGGTACGGCTACTGGAAGGGCCTCGTGGTAGGGATGTCTGGCGGCTCGACGACGACGTAGATTTCCAGTTGTTTCCATGGTTCCAACACAAGCCCGATATACTTCCTTCCGGTGCTGTCAGTTGAGTTGAATTGCTTTATCGTGCCAGATCCCAGGTTGTCTTTGAGGGGCCTCGTCGTTCCGGCCGGTCCAGACCTTTCTTGCAGACCTTCTTGCCGTGGCAGTCGCCGATTTTGAGCGATTCCGCGCAGATCTTCGTGAACGTGAAGGAAGAGGCAAGTTGCCTCTTGGACCTACTGTAGCTATGTGACGCATTGTCGACAAAAGTTTGCCCGTAGCTGCAGCATCTTGCGTTGGCCACCGGCGCTGGCTGTGAAAAGGCTGCGCGGCCTGACGATCTTGCCGTTCCCTTGAGGGTCCTTTCGGTACAGCTCTCGTGCAGCAGCAGGCTGCATCGTGTCGGAGGCCTCGTCGTTCCGGCCGGTCCAGACCTTTCTCGCAGATCTTGTGCCGTGGTAGTCGCCGATTTTTGCGCGATTCCGCGCAGGTCTTCGTGAGCTCAAGTGAAGTGGCGCATTGCCTCCTGGACCTCGCTATGTGATGCCATCCTTCTCGTGCCAGCCACCGGCGCTGGCCGTGAAAAGGCTGCAGCTTGAAGGTTTGACCTTTCGTTTGACGGCCCCCCTAGGTACAGCTTCGGTGCGGCCTCTTGCTTGGGGAGGCTTCATCGTGTTCGATCCGAGGTTGTCTTTGAAGGGCCTTGTCGTTCTGGTCGGTTCAGGCCATTCTTGCAAATCCTGTTCCCGTGCTAACCTTTGTGCAACTCACGTATTTTGCATGCAAGTGACCTTGGCAAGCGTTCGTCGCATGCCACTCGCTTGCGTACGATGCCGTTGCGGTGATTGTGCTTGAAGCACGGTGGTCGTTCCAAGTCGCACCGGGCCCGAGATGTTCGCACGAGACGATGTGGCCGCAACGCAACAAAGACGTATTGGAAATTCTTCAGACTGCAAGATAGGTTTGCGTGCTTCTACTTCGGCAGTAGGTCGCGGACGCCTTTGTGCAGCTCACTTTTGGCCTGGACAAGCCTTCGCCAAAAGCTTCCCACTTGCCTCCGATCGCCTCAAGACTGTCCGATTCGCTCCATGCTGCGAGTCGAGTGCAATTCGCGGAGGTTCAGGGTGACGACAGGTTCGGGTGGTCAGCACAGCCAGCTGTATCAGCTGTTGGGGTGGCAGCTGGTCACGCCGAGCGGCACTGCGATGCCTCGGGTTGTCCGACGTGAGCAGCTAGTTGGAGGATCATACGGCCGGTTTGCGGAACACCGTGTCGGCAGCCCGCTGGGACCCACGACAGGAGAAGTCCGGAAACACAGGGCGGGTCTTGTAGGATCTCATCTGTCCCGGCATCGCCTCGCACTGCAAGTTGGAAGGATGCGGCCAAGCCCTGGTCGTAGGAATTTGGTGCGGATGAAATTGTGTCTCGCCTCCCTTGTCTGACCGCCCCATGCTGCATACCTGGCGCGAAGCATACATGCTTGCCTGTGCTCCGTGCCACTGAGCAGTTCATTTCGGCAGATGCCGCTCTGGTGCCTTACGAACCATGCCGCCTGTCCCGGCAAGTCGCAAAGGTGACAGTAAGTCACTGAAGCTTGCTCGGAATCTGGGCCAGAACCAGACGGGCCGCAGCAGGTGCTCTCGTGTGGCGGCTACTTCGACGTGGTGCTTCGACCTTGGCCTCAGCACAGAGCTTCAGCTTCCCACGCAGGCATGGGGTGCTACTTGCCAACATGTTTCTAGGCGCTAGACTCGAACCTCCAGGCCTTCGTTGCAACCCGGAGTTAATCTTGTCTGCAGGTCTGGGATATCCGAGGCTTCCTGCACCCAACGAGGCTTCGCAGTTCGGGGGGCCACTCTTCCTGTCGGTGGCGCACGAGTAAAGTTTCAGAGTCCTGCAGACATTCTCGAATCTACATTCTACATGTCCCAACAGCCAAACGTTTGCAGCAAACGGCACCTGCTAAACCCTGAAGACCAGTCAGAAACACTCAGTACTCTTTGCACGTAGTGACTGCGTTCGCGACTTCCCACCTTGATTGCTGCAGGCCGTGGACAGCCAGACCTGGACGGCTGCCTTTTGAACAAGCGGCCGAAGAAAGTGCATAGCTGTTCCATGTCCACTTCCAGCAGTACTTCTCTCTTCACCCACTACGAAGCCGTCTGTAGCTGGATGCTTGCTGGCCTTTGCGCACTGCTTCCACGGATGTTGTATGATGACTAAACCATCTGCAGAGCATTTCTCTCGTTTCCTTGGTGTCGGCCCGGAATCTGTCCTAGTGCGATTGTTAATTAGTTGTCTTGAGCAAATTTCCATCCTGAGACGGTGAATGCCCCACAAAAGCTGATGATGAGGAGGTGGTTATAAAGGCTACGGATGAAAATCGGCGAACTATGACGATAGTACACAGCTGAGTCAACATGCTGATTGCTAGCCGACAGGGTTGCCAGAGATACAATGCGCATGGCTTCGGTTGGGAGGATGATTGCAAGAAACATGGGCACAGCCAGGTGCTAGAGCTCCGATTCTGTTGTGCTTGACCGACTTGAGCAATTCGGTAGAACTTGCTGATCGTTTTGATCATGATTCGGCTAATAATTGCATTCAAGTCCCTCGTCACGTATGCAAATGTGCAGGCATGGGGATCAAGGACCCGACCGCTGCATGAACGAACCCAGGGTAGAAGCAATTGGCCCAGCACAGTCGGCCCAGCTGGGAGGTCGACGTCCCACGGTTCAAGCGCTGCAAATCGCCTGACTCCGTCGCGATGGATGCCAAGGGCCGTTATCCTGCAAGGCGGACCGGGCGGAGAATGGAAAGAGCCGTAAGTCTTGTGTTGTAAAGCCACAATCGTTTGCGCAGTGTAGTGACACGTGTGGAAACACGGCGAAGCTTCGGGCGAGTGTTCAGCACCCCGGAAATTTCCTGAACACTACCGGCAAAACATCAAGCGGTGCATGCCAGGATGCGTGCTGACCTTGAGGAGCTGTGCTTGGCGGTTGGGCAAATGCAGAAGCCTCAGTCGCAGGAGGGGAGAGAGCGGTTGGTTCGAGCAGCAGTTGCTTCTAGGGACCACGCTCTGGGGTTTTGGTCCATGGCTCTAGAACGAGGAAGGCACAACTCCGCAAGCCACTGCATCAACTTCTTCCATGCATCCACCAGGCATGGTGCAATTCTTCAGCCCACCCGCCCTTGCATGCTCGCTGTTTGCAGCATTGATAGCTGTTGGTTTGAAGAAGTCCCAGAAGGAGGTGACAAGCAGTTGCCAGGGAGTTTATCAAATCGCTGTTGCTTCCGTGGAATGTTGTCAACACAAGTGCTCGGCGATTTGACGAAATCTTCGGCGAAGATCTCGACGTTGAGTCCATAACCTCAGAAGGAAAGCCTAAACTTTAGACCAATGCAGTGCCTGAGATAGCGGATGCTTGTGTTGGAAGTGGTGGCTGATTGCTGCACGAAAGTGAAGCCTGTGATGTTCTGAGGCGACAGAAGCTCGTGCTATCACATGGCTGCCTGCAACAAGCCGCCGAGGACACCCAGTGAAACCGGTTACGTTTTGGGTTTGGATGGATTGGAAGGAGGGCAACAAGCATCATGTGACAAAACACGCGTGCGGTCTCTAGACGCAATCGCTGGAAGGGAACTGAAAGATTTGCGCAACTCTACTAAGTTGAAAATGATCATGCGCTTGCTGGAGTAAGCTGTTGAGTAGTGAAGCCTTTCTGTAGGGCTACTGGGGATGAGAGGACTTGCTGAGAAGGGGCCAAAGTCTGCTCCCCGTGATGTCCCAGGCACATCTTAGAGTGTCCTCGCAGCGGTGGACGGCCCTATTACCCGTATGGGCTCGAAACACGAGGATTGACTGGGTCTCCTGGTCAGGTAGATGCGGCTTCAGCTTGTGCGGCTTCCGCCTGTGACTTGAATGTCAGGTCGACGCAGAAGTTCGGAAGCTTCCTGTCTCGAAAGCGGCTGTGGAGGAGAGTGTCACCTACTGCTACTACTTACGGCAAGCCATGGCAAGCCGTCCTGTGGAGAGGAGTTGGAGCAAGTGGTGCTGCGCTCGCAGCTCGAAGTCTCGAAGGCGCAGAGTCCGCAGAATATTGCTGAGGAGTCCTAAGCTCCCTTGTCTCTGCAGAGTACCCTCGTCCGTCCTAGTTGTCGAATCACCTTCAGGCCGAGAATGTGGCCGAGGAGCAGAGGACATTTCTGTACACCTCAGCTTTTGCATGCTCCACATTCATCTGTGCGTCTGATGGGCCTATCGAGCATCTACAGTGGCCGGTGTCGATGTGTGTGTTTGTGTCTTTTCTCCATACCGGGACTAGCACCTCATGTAACTACGGGACCTGCTTCGGCCTTATCTGTTATCTGACAACAGTAAGTCGATCTTCGTCGTGTCCGCCTTATGACGAATTTTAAAAGGGGCTTCTTTGAACACCATGCAGCTGCACTTGGACTCTGCGTCGAGTGATGTCGGGTGAGCCTTGGCTTCTTCGGCTTTGGCATGCTTTGGCTTGCTGTGCTCGAGGAGATCCCGCGAAGCCGAGCTAGCCTTTGGCCAAGCTTGAGGAGGGTTTTGGAGGGGCGCCGGGAGGACGGCTGTGGACCGATGTGCTGCCGACTTTGGAATAGGCTTGTGATGGTTGACAGTCGCTTTAGTCTTGGTTTTTTGCTTAGGCGGCCCTCCAGCGCTTTGCCGAAGAGACGGAGGCGCGCGAACCGGCTCAGCGTTTGCCCAGCGGTGCAGTTTGGCCAGCAGATGAGTTGAAGCGCTCGAGTTATGTTTTCAACGACCAGTTTTCATTCGGTAAAGTGCTGTAAGTGGGCTGACTGAATTTGGCTCAGGCAGCGGCGCGCCAACTGGAGGTCAGCTGTGCAGACCAATGGGTGGCTAATCAGGTTGAATGAGTATTGCAAAGTGACAGCCAACAATGTAGCACAAAGATGCACGCTGCCTGCAGTGGACTGGAGAGGGTCAGGAGACTCCAAGTAGGATGCATCGGCGTAGTAGTTGCTGCTGCTGAGGTAAGCATGCTGCGGTTTTGGGTTGTTGCATTGTCATAGAGCCCATAAGGGGTATTCCCTTTGCTTGAAGGCGGAGGCAGTTTTGGCCAAAGGTCGCCAGGCCATCCTGCAGCAGTTCTCGGCGTTGAAAAGAACCCAATCCGGCAAAAGTTGTATCTGTTAGAGGAGCAATGCCAAGCAGCAAAACCAGTTGCGAAAGTAGTCGCGGAAGTAGACGTAGCAGTAATAGCCACCAGTAGTAGTAGTAGTCGTCGTCGTCGTCGTCGTAGTAGTAGTAGTCGTCGTCGTCGTAGTAGTAGTAGTAGTGGCAGCAGTAGCAGGCCCAGTAGCAGTAGCAGTAGCAGTAGCAGCAAGTAGTTGTAGTAGTCGTCGTCGTCGTCGTAGTAACAAGTAGTAGTAGTAGTAGTAGTAGTAGTAGTAGTAGTAGCAGCAGCAGTAGTAGTAGAAGACTCCTACTACTATCTTCTATGTGGCTGTTTTTAGTTGTGCTGACCACGACGATTGTGCCGCGTTGACAAGTGTTACCCCACGGAGCTGTCATTGGCTTGACAATAAACTACTAGTACCACTCCTCCTCCTCCTCCTACTCCCACTCCTACTCCCACTCCTACTGCTACTACTGCTACTACTGCTGCTACAGCAACAACAACAACAACAACTACTACTACTACTACTACTACTACTACTTCTACTACTACTACTAACAACAACAACAACTACTACTACTACTGCAACTACTACTGCTACTGCTACTGCCACTGCTACAACAACAACAGCAGCTACTGCTACTACTACTACTACTACTACTACAACTACTACTACTACTACTACTACTACTAGTACTACTACTACTACTAAGAGCAGCAGTAGCAGCAGCCTGGGCAGTAGAGATGATAGTAATAGTAAACCTGGTAATGCTAGTACTGATAATACTGCAAGCCAGCATCGTAATATAGCACTAATGACAGAACTAGTGGAATATCAACAGTCATAGTTTTAACACAGGCAAAACAAGCATAGTAACTATAGTTGCAATCATTACACCCGTCTAAACAGTCCATGTCTCGCAGTGACACCGTAGGGACAACGCTCCATCCACACCTCCGCTACAGCGGGCGCCGCGCATTGTAACAACAGTAACGCAAGCAGCGAAACAGTAGCAACGACATGAGTAGTCGATAGTAGTCGTAACATTGGTATTACCGGTCAGTTATTTCAATGACAATATAGCCATGATGGGAATACTGGCAGCAATAGTCATAATAGGCACGATAGTGGCGACAGGAACCACAGAAACATCAGCAATAATAGTAACGATTGCAGCAGCGAAAGCAGCCTTAAGAACAGGAGGAATCAACAGTCATGGCAGCAATGCTAGGCAGGTGGCAACAACGGTAACAGTCGTAGCAATCGTAGCAGTCCTAAGTGCCACAGGAGCCGCACACAGTAACACTAAGAACAAACGGTAGCAGTAGTAACAATAGCAACTGATAGAGGTAAGGCTAGTTAGGAATAGCAAGAAACATAGCACGACTCGCAGCAAAAGTGGCAAAAGTAAGCAACAGCAACAACAATAATCATAATAGTAAAAAGTCAGAATAGGAAGAACAGCAACAACAGTTATAGTCGGGACAAAAGGAATAACAGGATACATAGGAAAAAGAGGAACAATAGGAATGAGAGGCATAGTTGTACAGAAACGACAGCTGGGTGTAAAAGCAGTGGTACTGGTAATAGCAGTAGTAGTAGTAGTAGTAGTAGTAGTAGTAGTAGTAGTAAGAGTAAGAGTAATAGTAGCCAGTTCTAGTACGCGTCTTAATCAAAAACCGCTGTAGGCGGTGAATATTAAATGACATTCAACAAGTAAGCTAAACTTTTAGGTTGCAATGATAACCGTAATTGGGATTGCGAGTTTGTTTATGCTATTCTCGTTGATGGATAGGAGAACCATCAGTCGCAGCCTCCTTCCCTCCCTCCCTCCCTCCCTCCCTCCCTCCCTCCTTCCTTCCCGTTTTTCGCTCCCTCCCTCTCTCTCACTCTCTTCCTCCAGCAGACACCTGCAATGATCAAACTGGAAAATTAGATCGGTGTGTCTGTCTGTCTGTCGGTCTGTCTGTGTGTCCGTCCGTCTGTCTGTCTGTCTGTCTGTCTGTCTGTCTGTCTTTCTAGTATAGTATTTGCAATGCTCCAGCAAGGCAGTCTGGCAAGCGCTCTCCGCTGTCAATGCTCTGAGCCCGACCCTTTTAACAGAGAAGAGGAAAAAGCGACAGAGCGTTGTTGGAGCACAGCTACACATCGGCGCTCAGGGGTGTACAACAGGGCTTCGAAGCGGGTTGTCTTCCGAAGTCTCGCCGCCCGCGCCTGCTCAGTAGTATACGGGTGTGAGTAGTTGATATGCGGTAGGTATAGTCAAAGATAGACAGGCTTTCGGATTCGAGGAAACTTGTCAAGTCGGCAGCTTTCACGCTAAATCGACGAAGATACCACAAGGTTCCGCACCATGTGCCCCAAGACCACGACAACCTTAGCCCCAACACTCAGCTACATCCGTGACAGTCCTGAAGTCCTGAGAGTGAAATTGGCGGAGCCGTGTCTTCGCTGACGGCAGATGCTATGGAAACTGCCGGGATCCTCAAAAGCGTGCTGCGTCTTGAGGCTTTCCGTGTTCAGCACCAGGAGCATTGAGATCTGAAGGGTCCACCTAGCATCTTGACATCCTGACCCTTCACCCACACAACCCCTTCCTGCCCTAAACTGCAACAGCTCGCCGAACTCTTCTCGACCCGAAAAGTTAATCTCAGCAATTCCAACATTGACCATGCTTATATTGCATGTTCGAGAGATTGACGTCATCATGAACACTGCTTGCTTTCCGAAGATTGCTCCTTTCAGCAGTCTACATTGATTCTACAGACCACGATTCATGAAGGCCCCCCCCGCCCCCCCCGTTTTGCAAGAGGAGGTGATGAGGAGGGGCCGGTTCAAAGCTGCGCTTCGAGCCCAGGTCCGGCCGCAAGCGCGAGCCGCGGCCGGCCGGTCTCCCCGGCTGCACAGCTTGCGAGGGCCTCGGAGACGTTTTCCAAAAGCCATGCCATGTCTGCGCTGAAGCGAGCAGCTCTCACGCGAAAGAAGCACGGACCACGCCCAGGGCCGCGGCGAAGTCGCCCTTCGATCAGGCGCCTCTCAGCCTTGGTGTGACCCCGATGAATCCCTACCGAGAAAGAAATTTCACGCCATGTCTCTCAGAGGTCCCCAAGGCCGTTAGCCTGGATCCATTGCTCAACGACCAGCTCAGCTCCATGGGGCAGGAGGCGCCTTGCTGCGGAGCCCGCGTAGAGCGCAGAGCACTTGTGCACAACTGGGTTCTTGTTAAGGGATTTAATTTAAGTTACCATAATAGGGATCTATAGTAAATAATATGGTTTCCTTATTATGGTAACTTAAATTAAATCCCTTAACAAGAACCCAGACAAGTTCAAAGCCTGGCAGATCAGCCACCTGCTGCTGCGTGCCGGGCCCGCCAAAGATTTCGAGGCCCCAGGAGTTTCGGAGGGGTTCTAGTTGGGTTCTAGTTCTGGCCCTGGCTTCTGATTAAAGTCTTTGAGGAGATGGTGCCGGACACAGGTCCGTCAATTCACGGTGCGAAGAACTTCTCGAGAGAAGAAAGGCACTCTGTCATTGCGCGCAGTCAGCCTGTGTAATTAGTTAAGCCGGCTGGGGCTTTGTGAAGAGAGTGAGGGATTTTGCAGGGAATCTGAGGGGAGCATGCATTGTGCACACTGGTTCAGCCGACCTTGGGACTTGGCACATTGCTTTGTTTCTGCAGCTCCTCGAAGCACCTGGCCGAGATCCAGCTCCCTCACCACAGCGGAGGCACGACAGCCATGAAAGTGCTGTTGCACATGCCAAGGGCCCTTTCGATGCCACTGGTGTTATTTGTATCTTCTTGTCCAAGCAACAAACACGTGCCACCAAATTTGGGGCCATCACTTCGTAAGATCGTGTTGCTTTCTACAGCACGATATGAGTTGCTTGACACGGTTTTCAGGGGTCCTAGATCCCAGACCCCTAGATGCCACTCCCCCAAACCGAGTGCTTCTGGGCGAACGAGCCACTTACGAGCCACTTACGAGCCACTCACATGCCTGCACCCGTACGTACAGCTACTTCTCTCTGCTGCTTCCACAAGTGATGTAGCTAAAGTTACTTTCGTTTCAATTTCTTGAGGCTAGATTTTGCCACTCACAAGCCACTCCCTCCCTCTGCTGTCCCCGATAATGACCCACTTACGAGACACTCAAGAGCCACTCCCCCGCCTTCCCAAAGGACCCACTTACGAGCCATTTGGGATTGTATAATAACCCCGCGCCTTGAGGTTTAGTCTTGGCATGTCCTTGTCGGTTTGGGATGGTTTTCTATGGTAAAACGATAAGAAGAAAATTAAACGATAACAAAACGATAGCGCTATTTTCATGGAAAAACGATAAGAAGAAAAAAGAGCGCTGACGACGTTCAGAGATAAGGAACTTTATACGGGGTTATTATACAACCCCATTTGCGAGCCTCTTACGGGCCACGGCCGGCCATGCCACCTCTCCCCACACACTCTGTCTATGGACTCGGCTCGCTTTCGGCACCGAGCCACCAACGACATCAAATTTCACCAGCATGCGACATCGAACGGTGCTTCAAGAATGTGCCAAGAGACAGCCGCCGAATCAAGTCGCTCACGAGTTACTTTACTGCTTCATCCGCGAATGCCTTGGTGCACCCGTTGTGTTTGCAGAGTCACTCATACCTTCAGATGAGGTAGGCCCCGTCCTTCCTTACATGCTTCTCGTTTGCTTATCCCGAAGCTTGTTCTTACATGCCACTACTATCCCACTCCTAAGACACTCCTGCGAGCGACCTAAGATGCTGACAAGACAATGGCGCGAAGTTTGCTGGCACATGCTTTCTTCCTTGATAATGGGTGCCGTTGCGACTCCATGAGATGCAGGGCCAAGTTGCGGAGCTTTTGAGCGACTAATCCCAAAGTTCAACTTCGAACCCTGAAAGATCGATGCGCGTCCGGAGGCTCTTCCTCCCCTTCAGCAGTCC